GCTTTCCCGGTCCCCGGTCCCTGTCAGCTGGCAGGATGCTGGGGAGCCTGGAGGTCCAGGGAAATCTGGCTTCTCCACAGCCCCAGCTCCCAGCATCCCTTGCTCCTTTTGCTTTGGTGGAGAATGTTCAGTTTTTGGGTTTGTTCCAAATTGGGAAGTTTCACAGCCTCAGGCCCCTCCCACAAAACAACTGCAGCCGCACGTCATAGCGGTGCTCTCTACCGATGCCCATTGACTGGGCCACATTGCGCTGTCTCATTGCTGCCCATTTTGGCAGATCCTGCGCTTCTCCCCAAAGCCAAACTGCCCCAGCTCACCTGCTCTGGTGCCCAACTCCCACACTGCCCCTGCCCCAGCTGCCCAATCCCCACAAATGCCTTCTAACCATTCTCCTGCAGCGGTTAGGAGCTGTCAGCCCCACACTCTGACCCATCGCAGAGGAATGGGAAGATCAGTGCATGTTGCCTCGCAGATCAAAGGAGCACTGCCAGGCTCTGCGGGGTTGAGCATGCTGCTTATTTACATAGTCGCTTCATTAAAAACCTCCCAATTTTCGCAATGCTTCCCCCAGGTCCCCAGCCTGCCGGAGGCAGCAGGACTCAGAGACCTGCTGCAGAATTCAGAGCTAGCTCCACCCAGAATTCATGGGCTTTGCTGTCTGGATTGCAGCAGCCTCACGCAGAGACCCCTCCCTGCCATTGTGCTGAACATTATTTAGCAGATATATTATGGTGGGCCCCAGCAGCCCCCGCCACAGACCCAACCAGTGTTCCCTGGAAGCTGAGCCCTTGTGCGGCTGCTCAGGAGAGATTAGCACAGAGACTACAGCTGGTTGGTTGTTTCTCCTGGTGGTGCACATTCACACATGCCTCGGTGCACGTAACAAAATGTGTTCCGCACATGGGTAGAGAAGATTCGAGGGAACATTGACCACAGCCCCACTGTGATGGGTGCTGCGTGTTATCTATTAGGTACGTTACGGTAGCACCAAGCAGCCCTAGCCATGGACTGCACCCTTGTGCTGGGCGCTCTCTGTATTACGGTAGCACCTTGGGGTGGAAACCCAGCCTTACTGCTCGGGCTGGTTCCCCTCCTCCCCCCTCCACTCTCTGTGTCTGGAGGGCCCCCGCGGCAAGGAGCGGCCCCGTCTCTGCATTGGTTCCTGGTGCACTTTTGTCAGCGGGTCCTACGGCACCCGGTGCGGTTCCTGGCGGGACGTGGGGCGCGAGCTCCGGCAGAGGGCGAGGTGGGGAACAGACCTGGGTGTTGCCCAAGTGAGACTGAGAACTCACCCCATCCCCGTTGCTCCGCTGGACCGTGCCGGGGCCAGCAGCACCATAAGCCCGATGGCCAGCGGCTTGCAGCACTGCCGCGCTGCACAGACATTCCTCACGCCGGGGGCTCCGGGGGTTACAGGTTCTGTACTGAGCAGCTCCCATTCTCTGGGACCGTCAGAGCTTTGGCTCCGTGCCCGGGGGGGGGTTCGGACGCTGATACAGTCGGTGCCTCCTTGGCCACACAGACTGCAGGAGCGGGGTATAAACCGGGCACAGAATGCAGCAGGGTCGGCCTCAGTTTCCCATCTGGGAATAGTGACACCGACCTTTGGAAAGTGCCTTGCGGTTGGCAGATGGAGGGCGCAGGCGGGTGCTGCTGACAGCGTGGGCGGCACGGGGGCGGGGTTCGGACGCTGATACAGTCGGTGCCTCCTTGGCCACACAGACTGCAGGAGCGGGGTATAAACCGGGCACAGAATGCAGCAGGGTCGGCCTCAGTTTCCCATCTGGGAATAGTGACACCGACCTTTGGAAAGTGCCTTGCGGTTGGCAGATGGAGGGCGCAGGCGGGTGCTGCTGACAGCGTGGGCGGCACGGGGGCGGGGAGCAGGGGTAGAGGCTGGCAGCTGGGGCGGGTAAGGGGGGGTGGCTGGGCCCGGTGGCTGCAGTGCACAGGGGATCATCGCTCCAGCCTGACCCTAACCCGCCCTCTTCTCTGTCCCGTTGGCAGCCCAGGGCAAGGTGCCCGCCCCCAGCTCGGAGCCCCCGGAGCCCTGGCCCCCCGCGGCGGCCGTGACCCTGCCCGTGAGCCACCGCCCCCCC